TTCTACTCCCCCCCTGGAGGGGATGCCAGTCCATCGCAGGGTTACCCCCAGCATTCAATTTCCGGTACCCATTTATACACCTGGGTGAAGAGAGGCACTGTGAGAGTAAAGTGTCTTGCCTAAGAACACAACACGATTTCCCCGGCCGGGGCTCGAACCCGAACCACTTGATCCGGAGTCGAGCGCACCAACCATGAGGCCACCGCGCCTCCACTTGTATACATAAAACGGTCTCATAAACCTGACAAGTAGGTCGATTCCCTTATTTTTTTAAGCTTTATGAGGCCTCAAGAAACAAAAAAGATACTGCCAGAGATACAAGATTATTTTAGAAATCGGCCGTAAAAGAAACTCGTGCAATAGAGATAATATTTCCTTAGTGACCCAAGGAGAAGTTCTCTATTTTGTTACGCTCCAAAATTGGACACAAAACGCTCGCCACTTTCTCGGCCAATCAGATGTAGAGCTATAGTCAATCGGAACCTGTTCGTTTGAATTTTTTCGCGCTTGAGGCGGTCAAGTGGATTTACTCCTTGTAATTTCATTCTTCCCTTAGGTCATGAATGGCCATCGTGATAGCCACGATTTTGAGTCAAAGACTCACATTGTCAAATCATTTTTTAAAATTTAATTCTTACCGGAAGTAAACGAACTCGAAGCTGTCAGCGTTCTTCGCGTTAAACATGACGCCATACTTTCCTCCCAGGAGACTCCCTTGAACATAGAAACTGACGCTTATGACGTAACTAGTGCCCAGGACACTTTTCGGGTACACTGCGCGGCACACGCCGGGTTGAGTGGTGTCTTCAATCCCGGTATAAGCTATTAAGGTGAAGTAGCTCCCAGTATCCCTTGCGCTCTGGCAATTCTTGGAGGTGAAAGGTAGTAGCGGAAGCGACTTTACAGTAAAATTCCTGAAACGAATGGACTTCCGGCAACCGCCAGTTACAAGGACACCACTACCTTTGTTAGTGGAAGGGTAGTGCGATTTGAAAGTTGCAGCAGCCACACCGTTCATAAACACGCTTACGATGTTACCGCGGATTTCCAAGCGGACGTTGAACCATTTCCCACCTGTAACGGTACAAGAACAAGGCCCGGTTTTGGCGCCCTCTCTCTTTTGGCGTCCACCCATTATGTATCCTGTTTGGTAACAATGGTCTTTCCAGTAAGGTCTAAAACAAATTAACAATTGGTCCATGAGTTAGCTAGTATGCGTTTACTGAGAAATGTGGCAAGCAGGAAGCTTAAAAAGCCCGAAAAATGAGTGACAGTCGCGCAAGACGATAAGGTATCATCGCTTTTGTAGTATAACAATGTTAACATAAATCTTGTTTTAATATCTGACCAATTTTTTGCCAACAAAAGATACTTTATCAACACGCAACAGACAAGTTGTCCAGAGGGGGTCTCCTGGCAGAACGTTTGGTCTATGAAAGGGTCTTTTATTCCAAGCGGCGCTAATTTGAGCACTCACGATATAGGGCTCGCGCTTGAAACCTTTACAAAATTGTTTATCACATTCACCTGAAATAAATGAAGTCAGCATTGTTGATATCGCGAGCATTGAAAATGATTCCAAGATACGCGACTCTGTCCCCACTCCAACCCAAATCACTGAACAAGTCCACGGACACCTGGTAAGTAGATGTCTCCGCCAGGTTGACCTCTTTCAGAAGAGCGCGGCAGAATCCTTGCGACCAGAAGTCTCCTTGACTTATCATTGAGTAGAACTTCGTGTTATCCTGCACTGTAGCACAACTCTTTGTTTCGAATGGCAAGGAGGGTATATCGTTGATGATAAAGTTCTTGAACTGTATAATACTTCCTTGACGATTAGCTAATAATACACCTCCGGCTCCTTTGGGAGGAAAGTGGCCTCGAAAAGAAGTCACGTGAACTCCTTCCAGGAAAACTGAAACCTCAGACTTTCGGACTTCGAGTGTTATGTGTATCCATCGTGCATTGCGAGGTGGGCCATGCGGACAGGAGCCGACCTGGGAACCATACCAGTTCAGCCGGCGTCGCTGGATCTCACCAGTTTGAAAGCATCGGTTGTCACTCGCACCAACCCTATGAGAGTAAACATGAAAAGCATAGTAACGCAGTCATTGCAAGAAAAAAAAAATTCTATAAAAAAAATCAGTTTTGAAAATCTTGGAAGAAACTCACATAGGAAAATCACACATCCAAATAAAAAAAAACTAATGCAATCCTGGTTTATCTTCGGCACTAAATTGTAAGTTACTTTGGGTTACAACTTCTGCTGATGAACCTCCTTTCACTAAACCGATGACGAAATTTTTTTTCATTTCAACCAGCCTTGACCAGAATTAGATCCTGCTTTAATATTTGTTTTGATGGAAGAGATGATATGAACTGAGAACTTCTTTCCGCAAAATTATATATCACCTTTATCATTTTTACCTGAAGAATATAAAATCGAAATTATCCTCATTCTGGGCGTTAAAGAATACACCCACATAGGTAACCATCATCGAGTCCTTGGTACCAGGGATGTAATAGTCAGCGGATAATCTATACATGTCAGGCGCCGATGCTCTGTGAGCGCTCAATCCTCGGCAGAATCCGTCTCTGGGCCAGAGACCCCGGCTGGCATTTAAAGTGAAAAGATCTCCATCTTCAATGATGTTTACACAAGATGACACTTTGCCTAAAAATGTTTTAAAGATAATTCTCCGATTAGTCGGTTGGCATTCTGAGCCCAAATTAAGACTGCGCAATCCCATTTCGAGGCTCCATTAGGAACGGAGGGGGGGGGTGGGGAAGGGGAAGGGTTGTCCGAGTATCCCGTATCCTATTAATCTTGGCATAAATATTTCGTATTCCATTGGTTCTTATGGCTGGAATTCCTGTATTTCCAGTTCGATATTCCGAATCTCTATTTAAAATATCCCGTTAAATTTTTTCTTCAAGTATCCAGTATCCCTATAATTTTTTTTCCCAGATATCCAGTATCCCGACAACCCCTAACAGGATTTTAATTTCATCAGTTTTCGGCCATTGGGTAACTTTCAACCATGTTGAAATGGTGCTTAAGGCGAAAGGAACTGGACCCGAACCTACCACATACAACAGAAACTTGAGACGAATCTATCTGCAAAAATTGAATTCTCTTCTTCAAATTCCTTCTATCCTACTATACAACTTACACCTGTAATTTAAATATTCGTTTTTGTTTCCCCCCTTATTTTGAATCCCATAAATACCTATTACAACTAATCAAAACAACAGCATTTTGCTTACAAAACTGAGTCGTCTTCACTTTCAAACTTGCTTCTTTCCCGATGCCGGCTTCCGTTCTGGCTTGTATAGCGATTTTGTACGTCTTGCCGTGTTCTAAGTTGTCGATAACGAAGTCAGTCATGTCTGAGGAGATGACCATCGTATTATTGCTGTAAGTTATGACGTAGTTTATAACAGGAAATCCTCCACTTTCCTCGGGGTGGTTCCAGCTTAGGATTATGCTGTCGCACGTTGGTTCCCCGTTTAAGTCTCGTGGGCTGCTTGGTGCAGCTGTGGAATACAAATAGAGTAAAGTTTACTGGACAGAAATGTCGCGATCTGATCGACCAGTTTTCCGTTGTCGATAACAGTTCAGACAAAGCTGTTCGCGCCAAAGTGTCACGCAACGTGTATTTGGTGCGGACTCACAAGGCGCACGACGTTTTGACCACTGTGATGACAAATATCGTTTTCTGTAAGATCACAGTGCACGCTTAACCACTACCGATTTGTTAGGCATTGAAAATGTTTCTCTTTTAGGCGAGATGTCATTTTGGATCTTACTAAAATGGATGACTCAGTAATAGCCCATTTCCGAATTGCATTTAGCCTCTTTTTCAAGGCGAGTCCTGGTACTCATCCTTTCGTATGGTAATAAGTTTTCATTCACATACAAATTAAACTCATTTTTATACGTATGGTTAAGCACCAGGCCTCGTTTTGAAAAAGAGGCCAAACGTAATTCGGAAATGGCCTGTTAAGTTAGCGAGGTCTGAAGCATGTTGGGAGGTCTATCATCTGGCTTATTGAATGATTGAAAGATGTTTTCTTTGTTGGTTTTTTTTTGTCTGGTAATTGATTGATTAAAGCACTTTTCGATTGAGCGTCACAAAACCAAAAGCAAAGTAATTATAACAACCAATCAGAAGAAAGGCGAACATCATCTTTAACCAATGAGAACTCAAAGTAAAACAGGCAAGCGCGGAAAAACGCGGAGGACTTTGCATTTGATTGGCTGAGATTTTGCCGTGAGTTTTCTCGACCAATCATTGTGCAAAAGAAAGCAGAAGCAAAGAAATCCATTATATCATTGTATCATATTCGACTCCTCATTGAAAATCGTTTTCTTCAGACGTTGCCATGGGGTTTCAAGGTTTGCCTGAGTTCAAAAACGCCCTTTTTTCAGTGACTCCACATCACCTACATGCAAAAGAAATGAGCTCCCGCACTGAATGACCATTTCCTGAGATGCCAAGAACCCAGGTACAATGAATATATGAAGTTCATATATTTTGAACTGCGGTATTAGATACGTATGACGCACGATCCTCGCAGTAGAGAGCGCTATTTACGCAA